ACGCTACTTTGCGCGCGTATATAACTGTAGTCGAGTTCAAACGTTCCGACGAATATTGCTCTGCATGGAGCTTAAAATAGAATTGTGCCGATGGTTTTGAAGCAATAAGCGTAGGGGGGTAAATAGAAGGTTACTTCTGGCAACGCGACCATCAAAAAGGCTTATTTAGGGGGTTATGTTCGAACAGAAAGTTTGAAAGTACTGAAGCATCAAGAAGCATGTAAACTAGTGCATACTATCTGAGTATCGGAGGCAACGTTTCTTAAAGTGCGAATTTAAAAATGGCAAAAACAGCAGAATTGATTGGACCCATTAAATTTCGAAAGAGCTCATCAGCTGCTACCTCTCATTGCTTACTATAAGTAACGCATGAGAAAATACAAAATTAAATTCGTACAGAAAGGTCAATAAGGTCATAGAGCATGTTTTCGAAGGTTTATTAGTAAATTGAACGAGTTTAAACAATGTGGAAATAAAAACAGAGGAAAGAAGACGTTTACGTGCAAAGGTAGACAAGGCACTGTTTATGAACAACTCGTACCTTGCGCTACCTAGAGGTAGCCTATATGCGGAGGTCAAAAGCTGACCTATGTAAACAGGTGGAACATGTGGTTAACCTAACCCAACCTAACTCCCTGATTTACTCAGTTCCCTCCTCACCTTTTCGTCTTACCGCCTCTTTTCTTCCGTTTTTCTTTCCACATCGTTTTAACTGGCTTTCTTTACTTATTAGCCTTCGTGACCCTATCCTATGACCTTATTTACCTTTCTGTAGGAATAAAATTTTGTATTTTCCCATTCGTTATGCAATAATAGGTAGCAACCTAAGAGACGAAATTTCATGGATCCAATAAATTCTGCTTTTTTGCCATCTTCATATTCGAGTATCGTTTTTAGGAGCAAGAGGCGACGAATACACTCAAAACATATATAAAATGAAAGCAAGCATCTCTCTAAATGCGCAGAAGGCAACCCCAGCTCTCGGTGGATTAATAATTAAGAAGAACATTCCTTTTCTTTAAAAAACTGCAGCCCAAATATGTCTCCGCATCTACTTGCTGTTGGGTATGCTTTTGCTAAAACATATTTACGAGTCACCTCTTCTGCTAGAGTGACCTCTAGCAGATTCACATAGTTCAGCAAATTTACGGTTACCCTTTCATGAAAAAGATCTTATTCCAATTCCTGAATAAATAAAAGTATGGGTGTCTTCCGCTGTATATAGTCGCGTATTTGAGACATTAAATCGAAAGTATGCATTTAATAATTTATATAATTATGATTTGTAAAATCCCCAAAAAATCACTGGAAAACACACAAGGTAAAAAGAACTACAAATATGTTGAAGTTGCATTTTTGAATTTTGGCCGAGCGCTTTGCTGCGGATTGGATTTTTACTTCGCCCAAAGCTAATACGCACAGGAGGTTGGTGCAGTCAGGTGAAGTAGATCACATTCCGGACCTAAACTGACCTCCTAACTACCTAGGCCAGATCTGACGCTTGTTTGAATCGTGCATATCCGAACACAAAGTGGCGGTGAGACGGGGCAACGGCTTATCACAAGCAGCTGTCAACAATTACCAAACGGGCCACTAGTCTAACGTTGCATCTACTACGACAATGGGCCATGCCAGAAACAAAACAAGTCGCAGGTTAATTGGACTATGAGCTTTCGATGAGCAATCAGAAAATCGATATATCGATCTGGCTCCGACAGACACAGCAAATTCATAGTCATCCCCGAACTGGCGTTAGGGAAATTTGATTGATGATTACCCGTTTTAAACGGTGCCTCTATTGTTGCCGCTTTTGCCTCGGATGGCGGGCTTCACTAGGAGTTCGAAAGCTCACATGAATAAAGACTTGGTTCCAGTGACCCAGCTGTCTCCTTACTTACTCATTGTGGCCTTTGCCCTGCAAATCGTGTTTTATGACTTTTAAAGGCGGGTCTGTGTACGCTTATTCATTTAATAAA